AAATACCCTTGAAAAAGTTAGGAACATATCTCTTCACCCTGAACTATGGATTTAATAGCAGTACAGACTGGGTTCTATAGTCTTGGTTGGAAACCAGTCTACTACAGAAAGTAATAGGAATCTACTGTAGGAATTCTGCCAGGTTAGTCATAAATTGAAAAAATGATTGCCCAAGAATACATCACAGAGTTTAGTTTTATATTCTATTTGTCTTGATATCTTTTTTTTTATTATTAATATTATTTATATTGTGTTGGTTTTATATAGACATGTATTTACATGTCTCATGCTATACAATTATTTTGTGAGGCATGAGTCATGACTGAGATTTTGTTCAAAATTTCATACAACGTCATTTATTTAATATTAATATTTATCTTTCTTGCTGTTTCTTATTTCTCTCATTTCCTCTTCCTTGGCCTCAGGTTATATCTGTTTTAATACTGCTTTGCTAAACTTGATTGGGATATATAAAATTCACTATGTATTGTGATGTGATGGAATAGCCTACCACCCCATGAGTGGCGGCACTATAGGTGGTAACCACCTATAAGTATCCATTAGGACAGTGGGCGGAGAGTTGAGCTGGGATCTGCAAGACCAGCGGCCTTCCAATAACAGCATGCACACAACTGTACTGACCTGTGACGACTGTGCACATAACTATTATATCCTTGCTTGGTGTACTAGTTTCTACAATAAACCTGTTACTATTTATCCACCATGTTTGTCCATTCCATATTCCTATTAGCACGAATATAACATATTGTCAATAATTTGGGGTGATTTTCAACACTGAAGCAGAAAATTAAAAGCTCTTTTAGCTGCAAGAATTAATGAGCCATTGATGCTTTCTGTTGGGGTCAAAACTCTATGTCTTTCAGTGGCAGTAAATAAGATTCTCAAAATCAACTCTTCAACAAAGTTGGAATATTATTTCAATCATCAATATATATATTTTTTTCCTCACTAGAATCTATCTTATTTATAAGTCTACCATACATCATTGCTTTGAATATTGCTGTCACATCTGGTCTGGTGCTCCTGCTACATATTTAGAGATTCTTCAAAAATCAAAGAAGAATCTGCAATGTTATTAGTCCTGACCTGGCATCTTGGCTTCAATCACTTTCCCACCAATGTAATGTAGCTTCCTGTGTCTTTTTTCTATAAATATTTTCATGGTAATTGTACTTTTCTGCTTATTGTATATATGTGAACTAGTTAGGACTTCATACAAACTGAGGCATTACGATGCTTGTAGTAAGAATGGTAAGTAAGAATGTGTTTGGGTGTAAGGAATACTGTGCTATGTTTTGATCAGTAATTGTAGCTAGGTAAGTTTAAGATAAGATAGATTGAAGACTGGCCTTTCCCATTTCCTCCCTTTTGGCTTTGTGCCACATTTTTGTATTTTCAAAATAAATATTACTTTTCTCCTGGGTAGCTAGACTTTATGAATTTAAGCACAGTACTGGGTTGGCAGCTAGGTCTCATCATTTTACAGTTGAAATGGCTAGATATAACTGTTAGTTCTATGCTAACAGTTTCGTCATCATACTTCTTGTTTGTGGAACTCTCTTCCAGCTTCTAGCTTCCCAGTCAACTTTGATCTATAAAAATTTAAATGCAAATTCAATTGTTATCTGATGTCTTCTTAATTCTTGTTCTTTTATTGTCATAATTGTGTCTGTTTTTTTTGTTTGTTGATAGTCTCTAACACTCAATAACATCTTGCATACTAGTGACTTTATTGTCTTGCTTGGGGTGAAATGATTAAAAAAAAAAAAAATTTGTTATTTTTTTTTTTTAAGAACATGATGCCAATAAAGAAATGTAGTCTTTTTGATATTTAAAGATAATAGTTTTCCCCATCTAGATTTGTAATTGGATTAACTATTTAAACCAAAATATTTCTTTCTTCTGTATTATTGGAATACATGAATGTGTATGAATTTTTTCCTAAATTGCAAAAGTTAATCCTTCAATATCTAAAGCAGGGGTTCCAAACATGCAGCTTGCAGACCATTTTCCTATGGCCTATTGTTTTATTTTTAAATAATGTGTATTACATCTATCAGCCTGAGAAATCTTAATATAAAAATGAGCTCCCTGGCAGAGATTGAACATATATTCCCTTTGTAGGAGAAACCTCCATTTGATCTGGCAAATGAAAATAGAGCCTTGCTGAACTATGATACTCTCTGTGGCCAAGCAGTAAAGCATACTGGATCAAACAGTGGTTTCTCCTACAAGGGATAGCAATGTTCAATTCCTGCCAGAAGCTACACTTTATTAAGATTTCTCAAATATTAGGCTGATAGACATAATCTGATAACTTTTCAATAAAAATGAGGCGTCTATTTCAGATACGAGTATCCATTATGATAATGTCTGAAATAATAAAATTAAAATCTAATGAACTCGAGGAAAGGTATAACTCTATCGCTTCTGTCCCCAGCTATGAGTTAAATAGTAGGACAGACTGGACGTTTTAGCCTTGGTTGGCAACCAGTCTAGATAGATAGCTCAGAATTCAAAATCGAGGAGAGTCGGTTTGGAGACACTGTGGTACATTATATGTACTAGTTCATTGTATCCAGTTCTTCAATTATCTTTTAAAAGTTTTTTTTCAATTCACTTAAGATGTTCATACACAGTTGTGCACGAAACATTAAGTTCTTGCACCACATTTGCAGCAAACCTATTACTTTTTAAAGTTATGATCCTCTATGGTACTCGGAAATGGGATATGAGCAGCACACTGTCAGATAGAAGAGATGATAAAATCATTCAAGACACTGTTTCATATCATTCAGTCCTAGTTGGCTGGTTCATAATTCATAATGGTGAAATAATTAATTATATTCTGATCACACTTTATATATATATATATATATATATATATACATATATATATATATACATACATACATACATACATACATACATACATACATACATCGCAATACAAAATGTAAAACACAAATAATATGCAATATTAACCTTTACCACACTGCAGGTGACAATAGTCGCTGTACCATTCTCTCCCTTTGCTACTCTAGATGCATTCTGTCGCCTTGAGACGTTTTCTATAAATAAACACTTGTCAACTGTTATTTCCGCTATTTTAAGCTGGAAATCACCTACTACTGCTTTGGAAGAAGGTTAATCTTCCATTTTCCAATGCCATTTTGAATTCTTCTACACTGATAATGAGGCGTAACACCGATTAAACCCACGTTAATTTTTTTAGGATATGGCTGCGTCAATATCAAACAAAGCCTTTATTCAGGTTTTTTTTTGTCTTTTTTTTAATGTATTTGTTATTTTATTTCACGTTTCAATTTTTTTTTTTGCTTTCAACATCAAGACATGCATGAAAAACAATGCATTACATCAAAATATTACTCATCCATTTTTTTTATTAGTACACAAAAAATAAACTCTATACACACACTACAAAGCAAGTTATAATTTTAAAACGGTAGGTGTTCATGATTTTACACACTAAAAAAAAAAAAGCAGTGGTAGGGGGAACAATTCTAGAAAGAAATTAGGAGGGTAAAGGTTAAAGGCAGAATACAATCTAGACTGAAATTACATCAAGTCACTACAGACACACCCTTTGTTTACAGAGGGAAGGCTGCCTGGACTGGATGCAAGTTGTTTCCAACACCTTCAACTAAAAAAGCGAAACGAGCACTATTCAAGATGGTAAAAGAGTCTGTGCTGAAATTGCCGGCACAATTTGGTCTTTTAATGAAGTGCGCCCCAATGGCAGAACCATACATATTGTTGAGAACGTTCCTTAATTTTATATACACACACACACATACATACATATATATATATATATATATGGAGGCATGGTGGCATAATTGGTAGCAGCTCGGATTGAAGAATCAAAGCACCGAGTTCAAATTCAAGTAAGTTTATTACAATCACTTTATTCACCTACCCTACAGGAATGTATGAATACATCTCTTCTCCACCAATTATGGGTAAAATAGCAGGAAAGACTGGGTTCTATAGTCTTGAGTGGCAACCAGTTTAGGCGAAAGAAACTCTGATTTCAAAACCGGATCACATTATCCACATGTGAATCCAAATTCCCACTGAAACTCCTACTATTAACACAACCTTGGATGTGGCATTAAAAGGAACTCAATGTGCCATAGGGAACAGGAGGAACTATATAAGTAAAATGTTTGTCACTTAGTTAACTGATGTTACTTTCAGCATCCAAATTCCAGAGTTCTGTAGAGACACTCTCCACGAATTACTCTATCCACTTGTTAGGTGGCATCAGTAATAGACTGCTTATACTTTTTGATTTTTCTTTTTATATGCACTTTTCATTGGTGGAAGCCATTTCTTTCTTTTTTTTTCATAGTGCATGCGTTCGTACCCATCTACATGTACATGTAGAATGTTGTGATTACTTTTCTCTCTTTTTTTTTGGTTCACTTTACACTCACACCTTAACCTTTTCTCTCTTTTTTTGGTTCACTTTACACTCACACCTTAACCTTTTCTCTCTTTTTTTGGTTCACTTTACACTCACACCTTAACCTTTTCTCTCTTTTTTTTTTGGTTCACTTTACACTCACACCTTAACCTTTTCTCTTTTTTTTTTTGTTCAATTTACACTCACACCTTAACCTTTTCTCTTTTTTTTTTTTGGTTCACTTTACCTCACACCTTAACCGTTTCTCTCTTTTTTTTTCACTTTATACTTACTCTTTCACCTTCCCTCTTTTTTTTTCTTTTTTCTTCTAATTGTTGCCATTTGGTTTCCGGTTTTCTAGACATTCATCATTGTTAAGTTTTGATTGTTCTAGTGTTTTTTTGAGTTAGGAAAATTGTATTTCAATTTTTATTACATGAATAATTAATTTTAATTCTTAAACAATAATGTATATATATATATATATATATATATATATATATATATATATATATATATATAAAAATGCACACAAAAGATTTTCACTTACCTCCATGTTTAAAATGCAGATTACATTCTAGTGGGTAACAGTTTCCTGGGGGAAGGTCTTCTATCCCTTCACCAATACCTAACTGGTAACGTTTTAGATGATAATCTCTTTCATTACCAGAGAGAACTGAATGAAAAAAAAAACAAAAGACTATTTTAAAAGACGAATAAAAAAAAAAATAAAATAAAAAATAAAAAATTTAAAAAAAATAACAAATGTCAAAGAATCAAATTTTAATACATCAAATTTCCATCTGAAGATCAACCCTTTTTCACACAAGTCAAGATATCAGATTCATGATTCTTCAAAAGCATTCCAGCAACAAGACCTCTGATGAGGAAGTTCTGAGCAGCATGAAACCACCTTTTAATTGCTGTTTTTCTCAGGTTCACTCTGACCTAGTGTGGTAGCACCTGTTAGGGTCCCAGGTATGGGCAAATATGGTTTACCCCCCCACCATCAAACTGGGGTCAAAACACTATGACAGTAAAAAAAAAAAAGATTTTTTTTATAAAAAAAATACAAAAATAAATATTACCAGCAATACATTTAATTCTTGACAAAAACCCTCTTTACAAAAAAAATATACCAATGAAACATGATCAACAAACTGATTTCTTACAAAGAATACATTATATTTATACGAACTTATCCTTAAATTCTTGTCGGCATTAAATAACCCATTGAGGTTGATAAGCCATAAAACAACAAAATAAACTAAACTTAAAAAGTGTAACAGTCAGTTATGTGACATGCATGATACACGCTTAGGTGATCATGTATCTTTGGATACATGACTGACGAGGAAGATTCCCCCCCCCCCAACAGTGGGTTGCCATTTTTTTTTCTGGTGGTAGACCAATGGCCATCAAAGGCTATAGAACCGGTCTGTCCTGCAATTTACCCATAGCTGGAGGGAGAAGACGAGGATTCATACCTTTCCCAAGGGTATTAGCACATAAGTGAATGTAATGGATTCGACTGGAATTTGAACTAGGCTCTCTGGTTTCTCAATCCAAGCCGCTATCCATTACTCCATTGTAAAAATCTAAATGAAGAAATTACGGAGAATTTTTTTTTTAAGTTTGCTATAACCTTGCATCAACAAATTTCAACAATGCAAACTTATCTTTTTGTTTTTAAGAAAATTAAAAAAAATAAATGGGAGGTGGAGGGTGTCACCATTTCCATGAGAAATGAAGGAATCAGTATGGTAGTCCTATGATCTACAAGTTTATGGGATAATTTAAAAAACAAAAGTCATAGAAAAGCAAGGAGAAAAAAAAAAAAATTCCCAATTGTTGATGTGCATTCAACTTAACCTTTTGAACTCACTTGTAAACAAAGAAAATTCTCTACTAGCAAATACCCTAAATACTGATTCACTGACACGAATCTCTATTGCATGCCCTATATATTTCTCTTTCAGCGTGGTGTAACAGTTAGCAATCTTGTCTTGCTAGAACAATTATGACTGAGTAGTGAATTTGATACTCACTGGGTGCCCCATACTTTCGGTCTTATGCCACATCTAGGCTACACTATTTACATTATTTGGACTATTGTCCTCATCTTTGTCGCCATGTTTATCACAACATTTCGGTCTTCTTCAGGTGGTTGGAATGTCGAATTGAACTCTTTATTTCACTCATTGGGGTAGGCTGTTCTAGTTCCACGTGCCATGTCTAATGGACGTCAGTTATCAGTTATCTCCTGTTAATTCCCCTCTCCAAGTTCCCCACCGCCTTAACCAGGTATTGAACTCACACTCTTTGGGTCTAACCAATACCTTGAAAAGGTATTGGCATAATCTCCTGTTAATTCCCCTCTCAAAGTTCTCCACTGCCTTAACCATGTATTGGGTTTTTTGGGTCCTGTCACTGGATCTAACCAACGCCTTTATCCACTGTGCCATGTGTCCTTAAGGACATGTGTGTATGAATTTCTGCGTATTATAAACCTAATGTCTTCAGCAATCATTTTTTACCAGTGCTCATATTGCAATTTTTGCTGTTATCATTGCATGTTTTTTTACCAGACCTCATATTGCAATTTTTGTTGTTATTATCACTTTTCTCTGGCACTCCTTATTACTGGTTCCCATATTGTATTCATTTCTATGCTTGGTCGGCTCATATGCTAGGCCACAAAAATCTCCTGTGCTGACCAAGCATAGAAATGAATACAATATGGGAACCAGTAATAAGAATGGCCAGAGAAAAGCGATAATAACAACAAAAAAGCGGAAAAGTACTTCGCCTCACCAACTTTCCAAAATCAGTGTTTTAATGACCAAATATCAGAGTAATGATTTGGGGAAATGAGTCAAAAATATACATTAAATCCTGACAGAATGTTACAAAAGTTCTAAAATCTAATTTATGTTTTACGATTTAATTTACCTTTCTGGTGGGGAAGTGAAATAATGTGGAGTTACATTTCAATTTTTAAATTCTATGTTGCCTTATTTTCATTGGCTGTGTAAACGCTTCATGTATATCTTATGGTGTTTGTGTTTATGTTTTTAAATTTTGTTTGTCAATGATGCCATAAGATATACATGTGACATCTATGCAGCCAATGAAAATAAGACAAGCATAGAATTTAAAAACAAATACATACGTAGGCACTAATGCTAAAAGAGATGTCAACACAACCAATGGAAACAATATAGAATTTAAATGTTAGATCTACATAAAAGCTAATAGCATTTAAATCAGCAGCAGGAGGCTTTGCACCACTGCCAATTTTTCCTGGTCAAGCTCTGTCACTTTGAACAAGCAATTGCTGTCACTGTTTGCTTCATTTGGATTTTGTATTTGCTCTTACAGCTGGTAGCAGAGCAGAGTTATAGCCACCAAAGTTAGCCTGAAAATTTCTGCAGAGTTGGATGAGTGCACAATAAATACCCTTGAAAAAGTTAGGAACATATCTCTTCACCCTGAACTATGGATTTAATAGCAGTACAGACTGGGTTCTATAGTCTTGGTTGGAAACCAGTCTACTACAGAAAGTAATAGGAATCTACTGTAGGAATTCTGCCAGGTTAGTCATAAATTGAAAAAATGATTGCCCAAGAATACATCACAGAGTTTAGTTTTATATTCTATTTGTCTTGATATCTTTTTTTTTATTATTAATATTATTTATATTGTGTTGGTTTTTATATAGACATGTATTTACATGTCTCATGCTAGCAATTATTTTGTGAGGCATGAGTCATGACTGAGATTTTGTTCAAAATTTCATACAACGTCATTTATTTAATATTAATATTTATCTTTCTTGCTGTTTCTTATTTCTCTCATTTCCTCTTCCTTGGCCTCAGGTTATATCTGTTTTAATACTGCTTTGCTAAACTTGATTGGGATATATAAAATTCACTATGTATTGTGATGTGATGGAATAGCCTACCACCCCCATGAGTGGCGGCACTATAGGTGGTAACCACCTATAAGTATCCATTAGGACAGTGGACGGGAGAGTTGAGCTGGGATCTGCAAGACCAGCGGCCTTCCAATAGCAGCATGCACACAACTGTACTGACCTGTGACGACTGTGCACATAACTATTATATCCTTGCTTGGTGTACTAGTTTCTACAATAAACCTGTTACTATTTATCCACCATGTTTGTCCATTCCATATTCCTATTAGCACGGAATATAACATATTGTCAATAATTTGAACATGATTTTCAACACTGAAGCAGAAAATTAAAGCTCTTTTAGCTGCAAGAATTAATGAGCCATTGATGCTTTCTGTTAGGGGTCAAAACTCTATGTCTTTCAGTGGCAGTAAATAAGATTCTCAAAATCAACTCTTCAACAAAGTTGGAATATTATTTCAATCATCAATATATATTTTTTTCCTCACTAGAATCTATCTTATTTATAAGTCTACCATACATCATTGCTTTGAATATTGCTGTCACATCTGGTCTGGTGCTCCTGCTACATATTTAGAGATTCTTCATAAAATCCAAAGAAGAATCTGCAATGTTATTAGTCCTGACCTGGCATCTTGGCTTCAATCACTTTCCCACCAATGTAATGTAGCTTCCCTGTGTCTTTTCTATAAATATTTTCATGGTAATTGTACTTTTCTGCTTATTGTATATATGTGAACTAGTTAGGACTTCATACAAACTGAGGCATTACGATGCTTGTAGTAAGAATGGTAAGTAAGAATGTGTTTGGGTGTAAGGAATACTGTGCTATGTTTTGATCAGTAATTGTAGCTAGGTAAGTTTAAGATAAGATAGATTGAAGACTGGCCTTTCCCATTCCTCCCTTTTGGCTTTGTGCCACATTTTTGTATTTTCAAAATAAATATTACTTTTCTCCTGGGTAGCTAAGACTTTATGAATTTAAGCACAGTACTGGGTTGGCAGCTAGGTCTCATCATTTTACAGTTGAAATGGCTAGATATAACTGTTAGTTCTATGCTAACAGTTTCGTCTATCATACTTCTTGTTTGTGGAACTCTCTTCCAGCTTCTAGCTTCCCAGTCAACTTTGATCTATAAAAATTTAAATGCAAATTCAATTGTTATCTGATGTCTTCTTAATTCTTGTTCTTTTATTGTCCTTAATTGTGTCTGTTTTTTTCTTTGTTGATAGTCTCTAACACTCAATAACATCTTGCATACTAGTGACTTTATTGTCTTGCTTGGGGTGAAATGATTAAAAAAAAAAAAATTTGTTATTTTTTTTAAGAACATGATGCCAATAAAGAAATGTAGTCTTTTGATATTTAAAGATAATAGTTTTCCCCCATCTAGATTTGTAATTGGATTAACTATTTAAACCAAAATATTTCTTTCTTCTGTATTATTGGAATACATGAATGTGTATGAATTTTTTCCTAAATTGCAAAAGTTAATCCTTCAATATCTAGAGCAGGGGGTTCCAAACATGCAGCTTGCAGACCATTTTCCTATGGCCTATTGTTTTTATTTTAAATAATGTGTATTACATCTATCAGCCTGAGAAATCTTAATATAAAAAATGAGCTCCCTGGCAGAGATTGAACATATATTCCCCTTTGTAGGAGAAACCTCCATTTGATCTGGCAAATGAAAAATAGAGCCTTGCTGAACTATGATACTCTCTGTAGCCAAGCAGTA